TTTTCCTTTTTCTCTCCAAAGCCCCCCGGTACACAGTTGTGTATTTTTAGTTGTGGGTCCTTCTAGTTGTGGCATGTGGGATGCCGCCTCAGTGTAGCCTGATGAGCGGTGCCATGTCTGTGCCCAAGATTTGAACCTGTGAAACCCTGGGCCACCGAAGCGGAGCACGCGAACTTAACCACTTGGCCACAGGGCTGCCCCAATGTTCCTCTACTTTATAAGTGGGGTGCTGCCACAGCACCGCTTGATGGGCGGTGTGTAGGTCTGTGCCCTGGATCCGAACTGGCAAACCCCGGACCGCCATAGTGAAGCACACAAACTTAACCGCTCTACCACTGGGCTGGCCGCCATGTCCATTTCTTCATCTGGTTGTTTTTGCTGTGGAGTCCCTTATATATTTTGGATTTTAATTCCCTATCAGATGTGTTGTTTGCACATATTTCCTCCCATTCTGTAGGTTACCTTTCCATGTTGTTGAGTTTCCTCTGCTGTGCAGAAGCTTTTTAGTTACATGTAGTCCCACCTGTTTTTGTTGCCTGTGCTTTTTATTTATTTAAAGATTTTACTTTTTCCCTTTTCTCCCCAAAGCCCCTGGTACATAGTTGTGTATTTTCAGTTGGGGCATGTGGGATGCCACCTCAGCATGGCTTGACGAGCCATGCCATGTCCGTGCCCAGGATCTGAACTGGTGAAGATCGAACCCTGGGCTGCCGAAGCAGAGAGCACGTGAACTTAACCAGTAGGCCACGGGGCTGGCCCCTGTTGCCTGTGGTTTTATCATGTCTAAAAAACTACTTATTTATTCATCCATCAGTTGATGGACATTTGGGTTTTGCTCACCTTTTGACTATTATGAATAACTTTGCTACAAAGCTCTGTGTACAGGGGCCAGCCCGATGGCCGTTTGCACACTCTGCTTCAGCAGCTCAGGGTTTCGCCAGCTCAGATCCTGGGCACAGACCTAGCACAGCTCATCAAGCCATGCAGAGGCGGTGTCCCACACAGCACAACCAGAAGGAACTACAACTACAATATACAACTATGTACTGGGGGGCTTTGGGGAGATGAGGGAAGAAAAAAAAAAAAGAGAAGCTTGGCAACTGATATTAGCTCCGGTGCCAACATTTAAGGAAAAAATAAAAAATAAAATTGAGAAGCTTTAAAAAGGAAAAAAAAGTCCATGTACCAGTTTTGTGTGGACATGTTTTCATTTCTTGGATATAAACCTAGAAGTGGAATTGCTAGCCCATGTGCTACACATAGGTGTAACATTTTGAAGAATTAAGGCAATGGGATTCTAAACTTTATTTAAAACTTTTGTTACAAGCCTTGCTTTTTATCCGACCATTTTAATGGCCGCTTTGTGTTGAACACGCAAGGAGGACAATCCCGTCGACCCTGACAAGCCCCTGGCTCTGGGACGTAGCAGGCAGGGGGCTTCACTGACAGAACCCGGGGTCAGTTCCGCAGGCAGGGAGGCCCGAGACTGCGGGCTCTCGCCCACCACCACTAGGCGGAGCCCGCTCACAGTCCAGGAGCACGCGGACGATCGCGGTACCCAGGGACTGGGGGTGGGGGGTGGTGGGGGGTGAAGCCCCCTCTCGCTGAGTTTGTAGGCGTCAAACCAGAGAACCGCAGAAGTAAAGGGCCCATCAAAGGGGCGGGGCCCAGGGGTTCTAATCGGGGCCCAGTGATTCAGAATTTGAAAGTTTGTACCGGCGTTGACTTGAAATTTTTCTTGGTTAGAAAAACCTTTCTTCACAGATGAAGCAAATCCATTCATTCAACAAACAGCTGTCTAGCACCTACTGTGTGTTGGCATTACTCTAGGCCCTTGGCACACAGTGTTTACTAGACTCCTATCCGAATGACACTTACATTCTAGTGGGGGAGGGGGCGGAGAACACAATAAATGAGTGAAATACATATCAGAAACCAGTGCCACAGAAAATCACCTAGGTGCCCATCAAGGGACAAACCGATAAAGGAGATGTGGTGTATATACTCAATGGAGTACTACTCAGCCATCAAAAAAGATGAAATCTTGCCATGTGTGACAACACGGACAGACCTTGAGGGCATTATGCCAAGTGAAATAAGCCAGAGGGAGAAAGTCAGATACTGCAGGATCTCATTCATAAGTAGAAGATAAAAACAACAAACAGAGAGAGATTAGATTGGTGGTTACGAGAGTGGTGACGCATGGCAATTAGTCTTTGGGTGGTGAACATGATATAATCTACACAGGAATCGAAACATGATGATGTACACCTGAAATTAAGAAAAAAGTTAATTTTTAAGAAGGCTACACTTGTAAGTAATGGAGTATTTCTAATTAAACTTTGTCATTTATGTTGAAATTCAGATGATTAAACACTGGAATATTGGTAAAAGAAACCAGAAGGAACAACATGCATGATGAAAAAAAGGCCATAGATATAAATAAGGAAGGGGACAGGACATGCTGGGGACAGAGAGGTTGCAATTTTTAACACAGTGGTGAGGACAGGTGACATCAAGGGAGCAAGCCACCTGAGCATCTGTGGGAAGAGCTTTCTGAGTAGAGGGAGTGGGCACAAAGGCCCTGAGGCCAAGGAAGGAAATCGGGACAGCCAGTGGGGCCCAGTTAGCAAGAGGGAAGGTGTGGGGGTGAATCACTCAGGGCTGGGCTCTTCCTGAGATAGAGACACCAGAAGTCCTGCCCAGAGCAGTGGCACGGACTGACTTACAATCAAGGATTCCCTTTGTCTGAGATGGAAACAGACTGAAGGTGAGCAAGGATAGAGGCAGGGCGAACACTTGGAAGGTTAGCGCCAATCCAGGCGCATCTGAGAGGATGGCTTGGGATGGGGAGGTCGCAGAGAAAGCAGCAAAGAGCCATCAGACATGGGCTACGTTCCGAGGGCAGGGCCGACAGCGTGTGCACTGCAGTGTACCGGGAGCGAATGACAGGTGTGGAGGATGAGCCAAGGGTTTGGGGCCGGGGAGGGGGCTCAGCAGATGAGTCTTGGACTCACGGTTTGGGATGATGACTCCAGAGGCCAGGGGAGAAGTGAGGGAAGTTCCTGCTGGAGACACAAGCCGTTTGGGCTGCTCTGGCTTGGGACACAGCAGGCTGGCTGGCAGGCACCTCTCCTGGCGCCTGCAGCAGGATGGGGTGGGGGGCAGCGCAGCCAGGCCCTGGCCCCGGCCCTCCCCGACGGATCCCTGGATGGGGCGCTGCAGCTGGAAGTTCCTAGCCCTGCCCAGCCCCAGCTGCAGAGGGGACTGCGGCCTCCCAGGACAGGAGACATGGAGTCCACACGCGTTGGCTGGGACCCTCTACAGCGCCCGCCCCCCCCCCACCCGCCACAAGTTCCTAGCCTCTGAAGAGGAGTTTGGAGATATGTTTTCCAACCCTCGCCTGGGAAGGACTGTTTTTTTTTTTAATGCTTTTTCTCCCCAAATCCCCCCTAGTACATAGTTGTATATGTGAGTTGCAGGTCCTTCTCGTTGTGGCATGTGGGACACCGCCTCGTTGTGGCCTGGAGAGAGGTACCATGTCTGCGCCCAGGATCCGAACCAGCAAAACCCTGGACTGCCGCAGTGGAGCGCGCGAACTTAACCACTCGGCCACGGGGCCGGCCCCCGGGACACTTTAAATGCAGGCTTATGAACCCCACCCCCAGGGAACAGATCATCTTCAGTCAGGTTCAGGGAGCATGCATCCTGAGGGTCCCTCATCTTAGTGAGGGTGAAGCAGAGACTTCTCAAGGCTGCACGGCCCCGGCCCAGCCAGAACCACAAGTTCCCAACTTTCAAGTTAAACGGCACGTCTAACACTGGCCCTGGTTTTCCGATGCAGTGGCAAACTCTGCCTCTTAAGAAAAAATAACAGATGCAGTGGGTTGAATGGTGACCCCCAAAGACAGCCACGTCCTACTCCCTGGAACCTGCGAATTCCACCTTATTTGGAAGAAGGGTCTTTGCAGGTGTAATTAAGTTCAGGCTGTTGAGACGAGGTCACCCTGGGTAACGGGGGGCCTAGGTCCAAAGGACAAGCATCCTAAAGGAGAAACGCACGGGAAGATTTGACAGACAGAAGAGGCGGCCATGTGCCCAGGGAGGCAGGGACTGGGGTGATGTGGCCACAAGCCAAGGAGCGCGCACAGCCACCAGAAGCTGGAGGAGGCAGAGACCAGGTCCTCCCCAGAGGGAGAGGGTCTCTGATGCCGTGGCTGCGACTTTGGCCTCCAGCACTGTGGGAGACTGACGCTGTTGCCCCTGTCGCCCTGGGTGTGGTCGCTGTTCTGGCAGCCGCAGGAACCTAACGAGACTACACAATACAAATTTTCTCTAACAGACCTCCCCCCAGACTACAGCAAGCTGTGCAGCCAAACCCTGGAGCTCGTGTCCCCGGTTTGCTGTGACTGGTCGAGTGCTGACGGAATCCGCGGACCGCACCCCCTCAAGTCCCTCAGTGGAAGAGCACCATCCCTCCCCAGGACGGAATCTAAGCAGAGCTTCCGGGAGGGATGGCCACCAGTTCACACACTTGTGAGAAACACCTGCAGTGACCTCCCAAAGTTACCAGCAATAAGAATCAGAAAGTAGAACAGAACATAAAAAAAGGCCAAGAAAACAAAGAAAAAAGGAGAATCTTCTTTTAAGTACAATTTTTCTCAACAATGTATGGAGAGCCCTGGGAAGGGAGTCCACGCCCAGGAGAGCCCTGGCCGTCGTCTGCAGCCACGGAGCACGCCTGCCCCAGCACACAGCAGGACAGGCTGGGACAGGCTGGGGCAGGCCAGCCTTCCCAGAGCCCCTCTCAGCACAGTCTGGCGGACAGGCCCTCCTGTCTGGTGCCCTGGATGGTGACCAATCACAGGCTCTTGTTTCACTGTGTTAACTGTTAACATTTAAACGCCTGTCATACAACTAGTTAATATTTAGAAACTGTGATTTTCCTAGGGCAGCAGAGAACTAATCACAATGATTTGGGGTATGACTCCAACACGATCTTGGGAAAAAAATTTAATGCAAATATTTAGCCATTAGAACACACAAATAAATAAATAAGCTCGAAAGAAAACCAAGTAAGTGTAACTGCCCATTTCTCTTTAGTCTCAGATATTCCATTTCCAAAATAATGCTAATAAAATATACAAATTAACTAAAAAGTAAAGAAGATAGAGAACATTCAACATAAAACCACCTAAAATAAAAATAAAACAAAGGACGAACCCTAATTATTTTATTTCTGTATATCAAGACTACAAAGAGCATTTAAACACTTAATTTATTATTCAAATTAAGAAATTATACATTTTGTTTTGATAATGGTCATTGTCTTAAAAGTGTCATTCAGTTTCCCCGCATTTAAAAGTATATTGCTAATTCTGGTCAACTCAACAGGACAGCCCACAGCGCGCCAGTGACAGTGCGACACTGGACGTGAGGAGGCAGGGCAGGACCCGACTGCTCTGCGCCTCGGCACAGGGCCACCGCTCCCATGGCCGAGGCTCTGAAACGCTCCCCGTGTTCAGAAACTGAAATCGCCCAGCAACGAGTCAGGTCCTGCTAAAGTGCCTTATTCTGACAGAATTACCAACACTCCTCCCTGGACAAGCGTTTGGGTACTGTCCTGTCTCCCTTCAAAGCAGCACCATTGAGGAAGCAGAGGGTGCAGAAGCGTGGCGAGTTACCCCAAATCTCTAGGAAGACTGGCTGCCGCCGCCCGGGGGTGGGCAGGGCATGCGGCCTGCAAGGGCCGGCCACAGCGGGCTGCAGTGCAGAGGAGCAGCCCGCCACTTTGGTTCAAGTGACTCGACTGGATGCTGCAGGGTCTGTCCCCCTAAGCCATCAGTCACCATAGGTCACACATGCCACGGGGCCTGGACGGAGACCTGCAGCCTCCCCCGAAAGCTCTCCAGGCACAAAGAGGAGACAGAAATGGAGAAAGAAGCAAGGACCCACCTCACACACATCCACACACAGTAATATCCAAACCATCATGATGCAGGTCAATGGTATATCGAAAATAAGCATGCTAGTCCCATATGGGGAAATGGCTTAAAAAGCACAAATAAAATATTATCATTGTTATCTATTTTCCAAACCTAACCACTTTGGGCAAAGGCAGCAGGAAAAACAAATGCCTTTCGTTTTAACAAGGAGGCCTGTAAACAATTCAACCGCACGAGAAGCAGGGGCCCTGAGAGCAGGCTCTGCACCCTTGGACCCTGTGTGCAGACTGCGCCAGGCTGAACCCACGAGCAGCACGCTGCCTCTCCCAGGAGCCCCGCCAGCTTGAGAAGGGCCCGAACCCACCAGCAAAGCCAAAGCTTCATCTTTGGTTAATTTCACTGAGTTGCCACTAGTCTTAAAACTGTGCTCTTCTTGGCAAATTACTAAATTAGCCACGTGGCACATAAGGTTTGTTATTTTAAGTTATCTGAAAAGCAACGTCCACCAAAGTGAGTGACCACGACTGAATAAAGCACTGAAACCCGGAGGGGGGGCTGATGGAAAGCGGGGAACTTGGGAGCTGTGCGAGTCCAGCGTGAGCATCCTCGCGGCCCGGCAGCTGCTGCTGACGACGGAAGCACCGGGAGTTCCTCTGCAGAAGGTCAGGTCCAGTCTCAGCTCAGCTCAGCTCAAAGCCAGCAGCACATTCAATAGCGTAGAGCAGTTTACTTCGCAGAAGTGTCTCGTCATAAAACTCAGGGAGCTTCAGCAGGTTCATGCAGGTGCTGGCTGTGGGGAGCCGCTCGAGGTCGGAGCCTCCGTTGTGAATGCAGAACGCAGGATACAGCTCCTGAAAGACAGCCGGCGTGCAGCACACAGCTTTAACAAGCACGGCCTCACACGAATTTCTAAAAGCATGCAAAACTTGCTGGCTTCAAACAGTAAAAAGTTATCATTACAATCACTTTTTTTTTAAAGATTTTATTTTTCCTTTCTCTCCAAAAGCCCCGTGGTACGTAGTTGTGTATATTTTAGTTGTGGGTCCTTCTGGTTGTGGCATGTGGGACACCACCTCAGCAATGGCCTGATGAGCGGTGCCATGTCCGCGCCCAGGATCTGAACCAGTGAAACCCTGGGCCGCTGAAGCAGAGCACGCGAACTTAACCACTTGGCCACGGGGCCAGCCCCCTACAATCGCATTTTTAAAAGGACATTTGCTTTTTTATTACACTCAAGATTTAGCTCTAAATTATACCAAATACTGTGTACTGTGCTTCACACATAAAAAGGAATAAAGAACAATATTCATTCATGAGAAACCTTTTCAGTGAATAGGGCCTCCAAAGGTTTTGTTTTTCAGTCTTTTAAAAATGTGCTCAAAATTCAAAAAGGTACAAAGGTAGAGAGTTGAATATATATACCTGTTTGCTTATATTTAAAACATGGGAAATACAGAAGCTGTCCCCGGGGAGGGACAGGAGTAAGCCAGCCTTCTCCAAAGCGACTGCATCTTGTGGACTGGACTCAACACTCATGTGGACAGAACGAAAACCATAAAACAAATTCAGGCAAAAGGGGAGAAAAAAAGCAATCTCTAAATATTGAAAACAAAATGAAACAAATGAACCTGTTTCTTGGTGGCTTAATCACACAGAGAGGAATTAGTTCTCATGTTTTAGAATTGCAAAGAAATCTTAAAGTGTTTTCAGAAACATAATAAATTATCGGTATTGTTCTCAAACCATTATGGGGGCCGGCACTGTGGCCGAGTGGTGAAGTTCGCGCGCTCCTTCAGCAGTGCAAGGTTTCGCGTTTGGATCCCAGGAGCAGACATGGCACCAGTCACTAGGTCGTGCTGTGGTGGCGTCTCACAAGGCAGAGCCAGATGGACCTACGACTGGAATATACAACTATGTACCGGGGGGCTTTGGGGAAAAGAAGAAAAAAGACTGGCAACAGATATTAGCTCAGGTGCCAATCTTTAAAATAAAAGAAAATAAAATAAAACCATTATGGTACTACATATAACCATTATACAACCAAATACAATTTATTGTAGGATCCTAGAACTTATTATGAGATCAAGCAAATGAACTAACAGGAACCAAGACTATCATTGGTAAAAAGAGATCCAAATATAAAATCAAAAAAACAAAAACCTTATAAGCCTAAATTTGAACTGGAGCTATCAGTTTGAACCTGTAATGGATTTTTCTCTTAGGGAAAAAAACCACCTATCTCCTGGCTCTGTCCACTGAAGAGGCCTGGAAAAAAGGAGCACCTGTGACAGTGAGCGCCAAGCACCCAGGGCCTGGTCGCTACAGACTCACTTCTCAATGAAAGGAACCAGGGATCCTTGGGAAAATACCTGATTTCCAGGTGTGGGCCAGGAAACGTACACAATAATGTTATGACCTTGTCATACCCCCAAGCAAGAAAGCTGCCCCAAACCACTGGGGTTACAGTAAAAAGACACATGAGCCCTGTGAAGGCATTCCCCTTGCCTACAGAGGGGGCACTCCGAAGATTAGAGAGAGTAACTGCAATGGATTGACATACGTCAAATGGTAAAGCCCATGAGCTCCTAATAATAAAAGGGTACCAAAATGCAGTAGTTGCCTTTAGAAGATGCTAGTTAACCCACTCAATATTCTGAAAACTGGTAAATAAAGAACAATCAAGACTCTCTTTCTTCTTCATAAACAGTCCTCAGGGTAATCAAATAGTTGATGAGGAAAATAAAATGTTGCTTGATAGAAGATTTTGGCTAGGAAATGATATAACTGGAATATGGCTGTCTTCTAACCACATTCAAGAATGGATCTAGGCACTGACTATCAGTGACTACTACAATCATTAGAGGGCAGCGTGTTGAGAATTCCATCATAGATGGATCAGGCTGACAACACCTGATCAATCCTGGCATCTCAGACAGATGACTCCCAGACGCTGGGTCCTCGATGTCGAAGTAAGAAAATACGTAGTACATGGCGTCATCTATACAACGTTATTGCCAAAAAAGGAAGATTCAAGTCTAGAAGCTGTCGAAACCTCTACCCAGCAGTTTACGAGATATACAAAGCAGCAACCCAGTGCCTGTATTAATTAACTTACAAGGCACGACAGAAGAGGGAGCGGATGTACAGATGAGAAAAGATTCAAGAGACGCAGCAAAGGAACACAACGTGTGGACGGTGGCCTGCTTGTGCAGGAGCACTCATGGTTACTTTTAGACATGATAACAACAGTCTGGTTATTTTTCTAAGGTACAGTATAAGAATTCTCATCCCTACATCCCAGCTGCCTGGGCCCCTCCCACGAGCAATCAACGCTATGGGTGTCGTAAGTACCTTCCCACAGAGATTTAATGTGGAGACAAGAAAAGATTTTCTCCCTCCCCTAACAAAAAAAAACACGTTCGCACATCACATACACTGTTCTCTACCTCCATAATTTTTCACTTGATAATGTCTTTGTGATCTTTCTGTATCAATCCAGTGTCCTCATTCCCTTTTGAGGCTGCGTGGTATCCCATTGGCCATATGCAGCACAATTTATTGATGGACACTTATGTTGTTTCTAACTGTTTACAAATAATGAATAACCATGTGCTTAAGGCATTTCATACTTGTGCAAATGGACCTGAGGCTAAATTCCTAAATGCTAGGTACTGACAAATGCAGACCGAGCACATGAGATCCATGGAAATGTCAGTCCCTTGATGGTTACAAATAACCAGTGACTGTATCTTTCTCTTATACACAAATGTCTTTAGATACAAGATGTGATTTATATGTTCCCTTCCAACAGGAACACACGACGTGGGGACTGTCTTCATCCAGAAAGCCTTAATCTGCTAGCTCTCAGGCCTGCGTGGGTTTGCCCTCCATTACTACGGGATCTCAGAGACCTAACTCCCTCACTTTGGCTCTGTAGAGCATGGGCCCAGAAAAGCAAAATGGCAGCCCAGCAGGCCCCTGGTTAGGAGCCAGAGCCAGGCCGGTTTCACCTCCAGCTCGGAGCCCTCTAAACTGTAACATACTTCCTCCTTGGAGCTGTGACAAGAGGACAGAGGCTCCGAATACCAGTGTAAAGGCAAATCTAGTCAACAGTCCCTGCTGACAATGATGCCTGCTAATGCCTTCTCTGAGCCCTCCTCTTCAAGGTGTAGCCTGGCCTAACTCTTTGTGAGGCGGGCCTGGCAGCATGAATCAGGAGTGTACACACAACACATCCTCTGACCACGACCTCTACTTCTAGGACTGCATCCTAGGGAGATAATGAGAGATGCAGATAACAATTTATGTACAAAGATGTGTGCAGCATCATAAAGAAGAAACAGTTGTAAACAACCAATAAAGAACAGTAAGTAAACTGTGGTAAACTCACATGACAGGACATCAGGAAGTTTATTAAAAATATTTCAAAGACTATTTAATATGAGGGAAAATGATCCTGACATAATGTTGAGTGAAAAAAGCAGCCTATAAAACTGAACACATGATACAGCTTATATTTAAAAATTATGTATATCTACGTAAAAACATGCCCACATATAGATACAAACACATTCACGTAAAAACACAAAACACGTAAAAACATGATAATGTTTAGAATGGGAGAGATTATAGGTATTTTTTCGTTTTACTTAAACACAATTTCCAATTTTCTATAATAAAAACATTAATTTTGTTATAAGGAGAAAAAATCAAACAATATAAAAAATAATTCCTACTAACCACTGTAGTGGAAAATCGAGAATACAACTGGAGCAACGTTCCTATTCTGATAGGAGACTTGGAAGCACCTGTGCCAGGTCACCAAGTGTGACAGGCACCCAACTGGCCCAAGATGCATCTCAGGTGGACTCCGGTTCCCCTGTGTTGAGTTCAGCATGTGGTTCTGATGTGGGTAAGCTGAGTCGGAGCACAGCCCACAGAATGCTAAATACAGGGCTTACACACTTCTTAGCATCCACCTGTGTACGCTTCTCTGCTTGAAATACAAACTTCATTTAAACAATACATGTGGCATGTAATATGTGCTGAAAATCAGTCTTTTTTTCTAATTATAGTTTATATCTACTTTTAATGTCTCATAAAAAATGTCAGAACAAGAACCAAAAGAGAAACACAAAGAACATTTAATACATTTATTATTTAGCATTTTGAGGGCAATGATTTTCTCAAATGCTTGATAAAATAAAAATATCACACTTTTGAAACAAAAAGAACCTCTGAAGGCAGGGTCAGTGAGTGCCGGGTAAATGGTGAAGTAATTGGGTAAATGGAAAGCTTGAAATATATTTTGCAGTTAAATGCCACATTTTTAATATTTCTTTCATAATGCTAATTGAATTTCCTACTGGAGTCTTAAAAGTAAAAAAAAAAAAATGAAGTTCTTCATTGAAATTCTGAGTCAAGGGCACCATTTCGTGCATAATTAGAGTACAACGGGAATTTGCATTAATTCAGAGTGAGAAAAATCATCAATTTATTACGTGGCCTGATGGCAACTTAACAATTCTCTACAGCACTTTAATGATTTTTTTGTCTGTAACAATCACATTCATTAAACATATTAAGCTTTAATTAGCTTTAGCAGACGCTATTCTTCTCCAATCATCTGGCACCGAGGAGTCTCCTAACTTTGACGTGATGCCCGCCTGCCACTGCTGTTTACAGCACTTCCATGCACAGACTCTCGTCATTAGAGCTGAACTTGGTCAGCCCTTTCACTCAGGCATACTGAGCTAACTGGAAAGCAGAAATATTAAGGTGATTTTTTTCCAAATTTGGAGTCTAACTTATGACAACTGCAAAAACATTTGAAAACAATTAAACTTCACCTTTAATAGATTTTAGATCATTGAAAAAAATCTAAACTAGGAAGATTGTCTCATGGCTTCCAAAAAAGTATTTTTCATGGTAAAATGATACCTCAATTATGATTGTATGGGGATCATCAAGAGGGGACAAGAGAATCTTCACTATAATTCTATTTCAGACTTTGAAAACTACTGAAACCCCACAACTTTTCCATCCCTCCACAGCTGTGCACTCCCACGGGGAGGCGGCACAAGCTCTGGACCGCTAACGGAAGGCCGGCTCGCAGCGCCTCTAGACGGCCCTTCTCACCAGCTCCTCCGCTGGATGTCGGACATCTGGAAGCTTCCCCTCCAGCAAGAGCCGTGCTTTCTCCTCTGGCGCTCATCACTGGCTTTAACTAACCAGCTAGCTGCTGGCGGAAATCTCAGCGTCTGCCACTCACTTTTGATGGGTTTTCGGTCCTCCAAATTTCCCTTCTTGAAACTAGATGCTTAGTTTTCTTACTTCTAGATTGGGTGTTGCTTTGAAACTGGAAGATACTAGAAGCCCTGTCTCTCATAATAAATGTTACTGATAAAATTACCTAATGATATTAAAATCTTTATAAGAATTTAATTTATACAACTGTTTATATTATTACACAATAAAAATTGTTCTGCTGAAAAACCTTTTATTAGCTCCATTTAGTCGTGCCGTTTGCACATTTCACCTGCATTCTTCTTGCTCTTTAGATCCCAACATGGTAAGATTTCCAGACTTCACTATATGCCCAAGAGGAACCAAAAAGCAAAGACAGACTCATGGAGGCCCATTTTCCTACCTGGTTATGTGGGCCAGGACTTAAAACTATGACGTGGATCCATGCATTTCTTTTGGGGGCAGGGCGATTATACACCAAGCCAGAAGCATCACTAAATCTTTCTGAATCCCTTTGTTTAGGTGTGTTGCTTGTACACAGCAGAGGTTTTTTTGGCCTAGTCTAAAAGTCTTTTTCTTTAACAGATGAATTTATTCCATGTACATCCACCATTGCCACAGTTTAGCCTTCTCTCACTTTGATGTTTTCTACTTTATGATTCTGAATGTTAACTTTGTTTTCCATATCTGACAAACATAGCTGGTTCTGCTCGTCTTGTTTTGCATGCCTATTTCCTTCCTCTGATAACATGGAAGACAGAGAAGTGATTTCAGTTCTACTAACATCACTGAATCATACTGTCCACTAATAGACTGATGTCCATGTCATCTTATTCACTGCTTCCAAAACCTAACAGTGTCAATGATTTATCTCCTGCAAAAAACAGAATCACTGCACGTATGCACACCTCTTTCCCATTTTTCTAATTTATTGCTCTAGTTCTGATGGCACTTATTGGGATGTTGTATTAAGCCACTGATGTCAATTTTTAGAAACAGCTTAATTGAGGTATAATTTACATACTGTAAGAATTGCCCATTTAAATGTACAAGTCAATAAATTTAATAAATTTATAGAACTGTGCAACTGTGCTCATGATCCAGTTTTGGAATGTTGCCATTTCTCCAAAAAGTTCCCCACTTCCACCCCTAGCCCTAGGCAACCACTGAGCGGCTTGTCTATAAACACGCCTTTTAAAGACAGTTCATGTAAGTGGAATTATATAACATGCAGTTTTGTATCTCACTCCTTTCACTTGGCACAATGTTTTAAATGTTCATACACGTTGTAGTATGTATCAGTAATTTATTCCTTTTAATTTCTGAATATACAGTCACGTGCCACATAATGAGGTCCTGGTCAAAGACGGACCGCATATATGATAGTGGTCCCCTAAGATTAGTACCATATAGCTTAGGTGTGTAGTAGGTTATACCATCTAGGTTTGTGTAAGTGCACTCTATCATGTTCGCACAAGGATGAAATTGCCTAACGACACATTTCTCAGAGCATGTTCCTGTCATTAAGTGATGCATGACTGTATCCCGTTGTATGGATACACTATATTCTGTTTTTCCATTATCAGCTGATGGACATTTGGACTGTTTCCAGCTTTTGGCTATTATGAATAATGTTGCTCTGAATGTTCACATGAACACTGTGTGAACATATGTTGTCATCTGAGTACATTCCTAGGACTGGAACTGCTCCATTACATTGAGGGACATTCTCAGGATAACTTGCCGGTAACCCACTGAAAATGTCAAAGACACAGAAGATACAGACTAAAAGAAACTAGAGACATGCCAACTAAATTCAATGTGCAGTCTTGGATTGGATTCCAGATTGGGGAACACGAATTCTATGAAGGACACTGGGACAACTGGTGTAACATCAGCATGCTCCAGAACACCTCAAGGGCAGACTAAAATGTGAGTGTTGAGCCCCACTCACAGAGTGTGATTCAGTAGGTCTGGGCGAGGCTGAAAATGTTCATTTCTAATGAGTTCTCAGGTGAAGCTGAAGCTGCTGGTCCCAGGACCACACTCTGCGAGCAGTGGATTAGACAATATCAATTCATCACTGCACCTTCCTTATTTCTGATAATTTAATTGTGGTTACATAAGAGAGTATTTGTGTTGTAGGAAATATGCACAGGAAACATGATGTGTTCAACTTACACTCAAATGATTCAGAAAAGAAACATATATAGAGAGAATGATAAAACAAATGTGGTAAAATGTTAACAACTGGTTAATGTGGGTCAAGAAGTTCTTTGTCCAATTCTTGCAATTTTCCTACACGTTTAAAATAATTTCAGGGGCCGGCCCCATGGCTGAGTGGTTAAGTTCACGCACTCCGCTGCAGTGGCCCAGGGTTTCACCAGTTTGAATCCTGGGCGCGGACATGGCACCACTCATCAGGCCATGCTGAGGCGGCGTCCCACATGCCACGACTAGAAGGACCCACAACTAAAAATACACAACTATGTACTGGGGGGCTTTGGGGAGAAAAAGGAAAAATAAAATCTTAAAAAAAAAATTTTCAAAGTAAAAAGTTAAAGAATAACTCATATATATCTCACAGATCATCAAAGGTTATTGGAAAGTGAATACCTATCTATAAGTTTCACAAGCACAAGCAATATACAATGCTTATCTAAACTGATATTATTCTCTATAACATATACCATTGTGTATATTTTTAAATTATTAATATTGCCTTATTTTAATTTACAACAAATAAAGGAAACACTAACTGTCCCTCGGCCAATTTTAATTGTTAAAAATATTAAGCCAAATTATGTGAGATCAACATTAATTATCAGAAATGATACAAGAAGGCTGGGTAACATAAAATAAGTAACCGTGAACAACCAGGAAAAAATACACTTCTGCTCATATATCATTCTTCCCAAACACGACATGAACATTTTTAGCTTGTGTGTTCTTCAGTTCAGTAGTAAAAATAGCCTAAGATGCATTACAGACTTATGAGACTGATAATTTATATTACAGACAGTCCATGAGAGTGGTGTAGGATCTGTTCATGGGCAATCATAACCATAAAGTATAACCATCACACCAATAGGTTAACACTGTGGACACAGCAAAAAAACCCCACAAAATAAAACCAATACCAGAATATACAGACAATAACCAATGCTTAAATGATCCAGCTGAAATACTTAACGTAGCTAAAAGTAGAGTAAAAAATAATAAATTTGGCGTTAGGGAGCAGCACACACTGTGTGCCGTCTGACTTCACGTAGCCCTGTTCGACATTCTGCCACCCTTCTTAGTTATGAGGTAGTTTTCAAAGCACATGGCATGAAGGGGGTGTACCTTAAACCCCAAGAGAGGGGGTCGGGAACAGCTGGTGACAAACTTCAGCAGTTTGCGCTTTTCTTCATCCGTGAACCCCTCCACAACTCTCCAGAAGACTTTGATGACAGGGTGGTCGGCAGAATACCCTCCTATGGCCAAAAGAACAGACATTGTGTTAAAACAAGGTCACTGCAGAAGCCGGTTCTCCTGAAGGCACCAGAGCAACACACCACAAGAATGATTCCTTTTCCGTGTCCCGTCACAGGGATGGACAGAGCTAGAGACTGAAGGCCACCTCTAAAGAAACACCTCTCAGTCTGTTCCTGGGAGCTGATGGGCTAGGACATGAGGGGGCAGAAATTTCCTTCAGAGGGATCAATGTACCAAAGGCCAGAATGAGGAATACCTTGGACTTACAAGATGAACCCTGGCAGCAAAAGATGCTGAAAGTGGTCTGAGTTTTAAAAAGTCTCCTAGGAGTTAAAAATCAACCTCTGTAGACTGGCAGACCCGAAATAACAAAGAATTTACATGATTGGTCACACATCTAAAAATGGTAGGGGCTGGCCCCGTGGCCGAGTGGTTAAGTTCACGCGCTCCGCTGCAGGCGGCCCAGTGTTTCGTTGGTTCGAATCCTGGGCACGGACATGGCACTGCTCATCAGACCACGCTGAGGAGGTGTCCCACATGCCACAACTAGAAGGACCCACAACGAAGAATATACAACTATGTACCGGGGGGCTTTGGGGAGAAAAAATAAAATCTTTAAAAAAAACAAAACAAAACAAAAACCTAATGGCTTAAAACAACAATAAACATTTATTAAAAACATTAAAAAATAAAAATGGTAGACACTGGAATTTTTATTTCTAATAGAACTAGTTATTTTGCCAACACAATCTTTGTGTCTAAATTCATTTCATCACCTGTCCTTCTGACAACAGGTACAGACCACAGCTAGCATCCAACCCCAGCTCACGATTAGACCACCATTCTAACACATAATATCTGTTACTTATAGCTTTTAATCTAGTTAAGTGCTTCCTAAAACTGAAATAATTGCTATATATTGTTCCCTCATTGTTAATATACTACAGAAATAACATCAATAAAATATCTTAAGTGCATTAATTGGCACCAAAATGAGTATGATAATATTTTAAACCTATTTACCGGAATAGCTAAGATCATTAAAGGTATAAGCTTCCAGCGCAGACAGGGTAATACAAACAACCCAGGACAATTTCTTGGCAAAGGCAAGCTTGGATAGATTTCATTTTTTTAAACTTATGACTTGATAGTGGGGACGATGTGACCTTAGGTATTATTTGCCTTTACATAAACATTAGAGTTCAAATTTAGAGCAATAGAAATTAATTACAGAAAGGGGAGATACATGCACACACATAATATATGCACACAAATGTATAGATGTAAATGATTTTATCAAATTTATAGAGTTTTGCAACCACCACCACAATCTAGTTTTAGAACATTCCCATTTCCTAACTGAAATCCCACATCCACTCCACAGACAACCATGACCCGTGGTCTCCACAAGCGTGCTCCTACAGATGTTTCATCTGAACGAAACTACATTCACAGTGCTATGCAACTTTCACCACGGTCCATTTCCAAAATCTTTTCCAAAGTTACTTTGGAGGAAAGGCTGGGAAACAGCATTCAAGAGAGCAGAGGAGTCTGGGTAGGTTTCTTTTTAAAAATTGTGGTAAAATGCATAATATAAAATTCTCCAAACGATCTTTAAGTGTACAATTCAGTGGCGTCAGTTACATTCACATTGTTGTGCACCCAGCACTGCTGTTTCCAACCAAAATTTCCTCATAACCCCAAAGAGAATGTCTCTAACCATTAAGCAATAACTCCCCATGCCCTCTCCCCCAGCCCCTGTAACCTTTAATCTACTTTCAGTGTCTAGGAATTTGCCCATTCTAGGCATTTTATATACGCTGAATCATACATGTCCTTTTGTGTCTGGCTTATTTTACTTAGCATAATGTTTTCAAGATTCATCCATGATGTAACACTTATTCAAACTTCATTCCTTTTTCAGACTTAGGAATAGTCCATTGTATGTATATACCACATTTGTTTACCCATTCATGTGTAGATGGACATTTGGGTTGTTTCTGTCTTTTGGCTACTGTCAATAATGCAACATGAACATGGTGTACAAGTACCTGTTTCAGTCCTTGCTTCCAACTGCTCCGGGTAGAGACCTAGAACTGTTAGGTTATGTGGTAATTCTGTGTTTAGCTTTTCAGGGAACAGTTTTCCATAGTGGCTATTTTATATTCCCACCGGCAACCAACGAGGGTTTCAACTTTTCCACATCCTCATCAACATCTTCTGTTTCCTCTGTGTGTGTCTGTGTGTATGTATTTAAGATTAGCACCTGAGCTAACAACTGTTGCCAATCTTTTCATTTTTTTGGTTTCTTCTCCTTCTCCCCAAAGCCCCCTAGTACATAGCTGTATATTCTAATTATAAGTTGTTCTGGTCATGGCATGTGGGATGCTGCCTCAGCATGGCCTGATGAGCGGTACCATGTCGGTGCCCAGGATCTGAACCGGCAAAACCCTGGGCTGCCAAAGCAGAGTGCATGAACTTAAGCACTCGGCCACAGGGCCGGCCTGTGTGTGTTTATTTAATAACAGTCATCCTAATGGATGTGAAGTATATCTCACTGTGGTTTTGATTTGCATTTCCCTAATGATCAATGATGTTGAACATCTTTTTGAGCTTACTGGCCATTTGTATATCTTCTTTGGAGAAATGTCTATTCAAGTCCTTTGCCTATTTCTGAATTGACCTGTCCTCTTGTTGAGTTGTAAGAGTTCTTTATATATTCTAGATACCAGACCCTCACCAGACACAGGATTTCCAAGTATTGTCTCTCATTCTGTAGGCTGTCTTTTCATTTTCTTGATAATGTCCTTTGATGCACACAATTTATAATTTTGATGAAGTCCAATTTATTTTTTTTTCCTTTTGTTGTTCATGCTTTTGGTGTCATATCTAAGAATGCATTGCCAAATCCAAGGTCATGAAGATATACCCCTGTTTTCTCCTAAGAGCTTCATGGTCTTAGCTCTTCTGTTAAGGCTGTTGATCCATTTTGAGCTACATTTTGTATAAGTGTGAGGTAGGGACACAGCCTCATTCTTTTGCAAAAATCCAGTTGTTCTACATTTAACTTTTTAAATAACTGTAAACTTTTCCAAAGAAGTTCTACCATTTTACGTTCTCACCAATCAAGAAGGTTCCAATATCTCCACATACTCACTAATACTTAGTATTGTCCATCTTTTTGATTATAGTCATTTTACTGGGTATGTAGCAGTATCTCACTAAGATTTAATTTGCATTTCCCTAGCCATTAATGGTATTAAACATCCGTTCATGTGCTTATTTGCTTACAGGCCATTCATATATATCTTCTCAAGTGACACTTTTTTTTTTGCCTGTTTTTAAATTTGGTTGTCTTGTTATTGAGTTGCAGAGTTCTTTACATATTATGAACATAGACCATTATTAGATATATTGCTTGAAAATATTTTCTCCCAATCTGTGGCCTGTATTTTCATTTTTCTTTTACTTTCTTTTCTTTTTGGTGAGGAAGATTGGCCCTGAGTTAACATCTGTTGCCAATCTTCCTCTAACTTTTGTACATGGGATGCCACCCCAGCGTGGCTTGATGAGCAGTGTGTAGGTCTGTGGCTGGGATCTGAACCTGTGAACCTCAGGCTGCCAAAGCGGAGCATGAGAACTTAATCACTACGCCACTGGGCTGGCCCTCTTTTCATTTTCTTAATGGTATTTTTTGAAGCATAAAAGCTTTAATTTTGAGGAAGCCAATTTTCTATCAATTTCTTTTTTCTGGGTCATGCTTTTGGTATACAACTAAAAACTCTGTCTAATCCAAAAATCAGAAAGATCTTCTCCTGTATGTTCTTTCAGAATTTTCACAGTTTGGGCTATAGGTCTCTGATCCTGTTGAGTTCATTTTTGCATATCGTGTGAGGTAAAGGTCTAAGTTCCTTCTTTCCATGTGGATATTGTCTCATCAGCAATGAATTGCTGAAAATCAGTTGACCATAAATATAAAGATTTGTTTCTGAACTCCCAATTATGTTTCATTGATCAACATGCCTATCCTTGTGCCAATACCACAATGTCTTGATTACTGTGGCTTTAGAGTGAGTTTTAAATCTCAATGTAAGTCCTTCAACTTTATTCTTCTACAAAATTGTTTTGGCTATTTCAGGTCCTTTACATTTCCATATAAATTTTAAAATCAGCCTGTTGATTTCTACAAAAAAGCTAGCTGGGATTCTGATAGGGATTGCACTGAATTTGTATATTAATTTGGAGAGAACTACATCTTGTCAATACTGAATCTTCCAATCCATGAAAATGGACTGTTTCTCCCTTTATTTAGGTCTTCTTTAATTTCTCTTGCAATGTTTTGCAGTTTTCAGGGTACAAGCCTTGTGCTTACTTTGCTAAATTTGGATTTTATTCTTGTTGATGAAACTATGAATGGAATTGTTGATTTAGTCCCATTCTTGGATTGTAAATAGAAACAGAATTGGTTTCTGTATATTGATCTATGCTGCAACCTGCTAAAACTGTTTATTAGTTCTAGTATTTTTTTCTTTTTTGTCATGTCATCTATGAGAAAAGACAGTTTTAATTGCTTCACTTTTGCTTTTCCAAGCTGGATATTTGTCCCCTCCTTGCTTCCTACCTATCTATCCGCCTGCCTACCCGTCGCTTTACTGTACTAGCTCGAAACCTCAGCATGATGTTGAAAAAAATGGCAAAAGCAATTGTGTTTGCCTTGGGCGGAGAGCATTCACCTTTCACCATTCAGTGACGTTGGCTGTGAGCTCTCTGCAGATGTCCTGTAGCAGCTGAGGAAGCGTCCTTCCAGTCCTAGGTTCTGGAGGGTTTTTAATCTTGACTGGGCAGGAGCTGCTCAGATGCTCCAAAGCTGCAATTGCTGTTTTCTTTCTTTCTTTTTTCAGCATCCATTGAGATGATATGGGTCTTGTCCTTTATACCACAATACTGTGTATTACATTAATATACTTTCAGATGTATTAACCTTGCATTTACAGAATTAATACTACTTGGTTTAATCATTTTTATGTGCTGCTGGATTCACTTTGCTAATATTCTGAGGATTTTTGTATCTATGTTCATGAGAGATATTAATATATAATTTCCTTTTCTTGTATTATTTTTGTCTGCCTTTGCTAGCAGGCTAATACTGATCTTTGACGACAGAAATTCTCCCCTCACTCAGCCATAGCTGGAAGTCCTGAATAGGATATGTTTTTATAGCTTATAAAAACACGGTTTTTAAGCTATGTTTTATAGTTATAGAATAATAAGTATTATTCTACAAGAAATATTCATTTCAAAATATTTAGAAAAAAGAGAAAAGTACAGTGAAGAAAAATCACCTGTAATTTCATTAACTGTAAGTGACCACTGCCATTTTATAAAACTGAAATGGCTTTAAAGTTTTCTTGGTTTTAAGAAGCAAATTATGCACAGTGTATAATATTCAAATAATACAGAAAAGGAAACAAAATTTTAAAGAAGCAAAAATGACTTATAATCTATAATCTCACACCCACTTAATATTTTTGCATATCTCTTACTCAACTTTATTTTCATAGGTAGGGGGTCACATGACACATACTGATTCATCATCTGGTTTATTTAAGACTATAATTTAAATTTTCAAATATTTATAAAATACTTAAAAATGTCCATGCACATAATAAAGATAGGAATCAATGGCTCACAACTGCAAATCACTTTTATAATACATATTTAAGATTCTGCAGTTTTTTTCCTGTGAGCAATATTCATTCTAATTTCACCCCCCAAAACGCTTATATTCTTTAATAAGCAATTTAACTTCTAGGCTTTTCTCATTTAAAAAAATAGACTTTACATGTAAACAGAAATATATACAAAGTTGTTTAGTATAGTGCAAAGTTAAATAAATCATAAATATCTATTTAATCTCAACAATTAGTTGCAAGAAGAGTAACACCTTGGATATATTTTTTATTTCTGATGCTAAACAAATGAATATTGTAAATTATATTACCACTAACTACATGAAAATACTAGAATAATAGACTATGATTAAGGAAAACACCAAAACAAAAGTGGTTGTTTTAAAGATGACTTTTTTCTTTCACTTGTTTCTTCACTGTTTCTGACTATATATAATCAGGTTAATTAAAAAAAAAAAACTCACAAATACCCAAGAGGTACACCAATTCCAACTTTGAACAACCTCGTTATGGTTTTAAATTGTTGTTTTTCTGATGACTAATGTTGCTGAGCTTCTTTCTTTTTTTTATTTTTAAAGATTTTACTTTTTTTCCTTTTTCTCCCCAAAGCCCCCCGGTACATAGCTATATATTCTTCGTTGTGGGTCCTTCTAGTTGTGGCATGTGGGACGCTGCCTCAGCGTGGTCTGATGAGCAGTGCCATGCCCACGCCCAGGATCCGAACCAACGAAACACTGGGCCGCCTGCAGCGGAGCGCGCGAACTTAACCACTCGGCCACGGGGCCAGCCCCCAACTGAGCTTCTTTCTATGTGCTTATTGGCCTTCTGAATATCTTCTTTTTGGTTTTTCATTTTCTTGAAGAGCAGAAACTTTTAATTTTATCAAAAAGTAAACATTTTTTTTAATTTATTATTTTTTTTTATTAATGTTATGATAGATTACAACCTTGTGAGATTTCAGTTGTACATTTTTGTTAGTCATGTTGTGGGTACACCACTTACCCCTTTGTGCCCTCCCCCCACCCCCCCTTTGCCCTGGTAACCACCGATCAGATCTCCTTGTCAATATATTAACTTCCACCTATGAGTGGAGTCATATAGAGTTCATCTTTCTCTGACTGGCTTATTTCGCTTAACATAATACCCTCGAGCAAAAAGTAAACATTTTGATGAGGTCCCATGTTTTAGTTTTTTCTGCTACTGTTAGGGGGGTTTTGCTGGCCAGCACTGTTCTTAAAAGCAAAAGACTGGAAGCAACTCAATGCCCATTAGGAGACTTAGAAGAAAGATATGTTGTGAAGAGAAAAAAACCACAAAATGCAGGATAGAGTATAAAAATGAGGCAAATAAGAATTGAATTTGTATTTATGTGTAAATACATAAAGATACCAGGAAGAGTGGTTACTTATGGTGGGGAGGGGGAAGGGAAGGGAGGAGCAGACAAACGGGAAATAAAGACAGGAAGAAGACTTCACCATATACCTCAAGACACATTCTGGCTTTTACACCATGTTAATGAATTACCTATACAAAAAAGTATATTAAACATTGCTTTGGAAATATGATCATCTGTAACATAACATTTTCACAAATCACTAACCAGTAGTGATAACATACCTGAATAGTTTGTAAAGGATTTTAGGTCCTCTAGACTTATGGGAACTTGTGCACCAGAAATTAATACCTGGAAAAAAAGTTCAATTCATAAAATTTGAGGTAGATTTTAAGAAAGATTTTTCATGTCATGAAACAACTGTCTCCAAGCGTCAGGAAGCAGTGTACCTGAATTTCCTGCTGATCAAACATGCGCAGCCACTCCAGGTTCACCACGTTGGCCAGGCCCTGCCTGAAAGCCAGGCAGTGCTGGCGGATCTGCCTGTTCAGCCTGTAGTCGGCTACGAGGTGGATGTACGCAATCCGATTTGCACTGGTGACAGGGATATCTTTTCCACCAAATTTTAGTTCAACCACCTGTGAATATTAAAATAAGTCTCAAAATTCTCAAAGTATGAGGATAGGGTGAAACAAAAGCAAGAAACAATGATTTCAAGGCAACTTGACTGCGTTGCTTTGTGACAAGAATTTAAGGAGAAAGCAGAGCGACCAGTGCCCACACCAGGACCTGCAGACTTAAAGACGCACCTCCACCGGGATGCTCCAAAGCCTGTCTCATTCACTGCGTAAGGTCATTAACCACCCCCTCTTTCTCCAAAGTACCAAGGAATGATGCAACAATGTAACGTGGCAACTTCATTGTAAAAAATGAGAAGTCACAAAAAGCAAAGATATGAACCAAATGATCAACACAAGTCAGAAGGGGTTTGTTTTGAAGGAAATACAGCTTAAGCAATTAAAGCTATAGTAAAATGATTACTCATATTTGCTCAGATAAGAAGCATACACTCCTCTTTGTATTTCCATAATGTTATTACTACCGTAAAGTACTCTGAATATGATTTAAAGGATAGTGTTAATAATTAGAGATAACTGATCAGTTCATTTCTTATGTATCTCAACAGAAGTAGAACGAACAACTTCTATCTTTACGTAAGCACACGTAACCTGGGGGTCTAGGAGAGGCTCAGGAGCCCCAGAGCGTCAGTGAGAAAGCGCCGCACTAGAAGGGGCCTGGGCTCCGGCCCCCTCTCCCTCACTTTAACTGTGGCCGTAGACAAGTTCCCCATCCCTGGGAACGTCTTTTGTTAATAAAACGGTGGAGTTTGCTTTGTCTGTCTTGGAATCGTGATTCTGTAAACTCATATAAACGAAGTTGACTGACAAGACACCAGAGACAAGCATAAACATTGAAGCCTAATTTACAAGAGTACATTTTTTAAATTCCTTGTTCACTAGTACTTAAACAAAAGAAAAGCATTCTCAGATGCACTGAGAGGAGGTAATCTATGCCAAGGATAAAGAAACATAAAATTAAACCAAAATAAGTGAACAAAGACGTTCCAGCGTGACCAAGTCAAGAGGGGACTACTGCTAGAGGAGCTAAGCCACGTTACCAAACAGGCGTCATGAGCCTGTGTTGGGCTAAAAGCAGAGAGACGCTTAGACTGTGGATTATGGGAAAACTATTAATTACTCCCCTGGTGATTTTCTTCACAGCCTTTGAGTTCTCTTGGTAGTCATCATATTCTAAGCAAAGACACCACCACTTTCTCCGGGCCGTGGCATTCCACCACAATTTTTCAGCACTTTACAGGAAGGCTATTTTAAGACCCGCTGAAGAGTCTGACTTAAGCCGTTCTGTCCTGTGACTGACGGCTACAAGACCGCCTTACCCGCACGCTACGAGCTTTATCAGCTTTGCCCCTTCTCGCCAGTTCATGCTGTCAGTGCTGGGACCACCAGGCCTAAGGAAGGGCTTTAAGCGCACTGTCTCCACTCTGGGGGGAGGACCAGACCCTCCTGAGCTCACTCTCCGCTGGCAGCCCATCTGTTACTCGCCTTAGGGGCTGGCTGCTCTATTTCAATATATAAAATATCACCCCTTCCTTTAAGTGGATTAACGGAGGGTAATAAATGATGATGTACTGTGTGATTTGGAAGACAAAGGACCCAGGAAGTGGTAAGTTAAAGGACTCCCAAAGCCCCCAATGCCCCTACCTAATCGGCCAGCACTGACATGTGAGTAACTTTAAAGTGGTTATACCATGGTAATTTAAACTCCTCTCTCCGGCTACCCCTAAACAAGGTGAATGTTTAAAGTCATGTCAAAACTGTTCTAAGATTTCAGTTTTGAGGGGCACATTTAGCTCTTTAAACACGGAACCAGAGCAGTTCTTACAGCAAGAGCTATCTTCTCTCTGTCACTTCCGAAGGTCTACACTTCACGGCACTTTCTCAGAAGGCACTGGGCCCTCACATTACTTACTCATGCGAGCTCATTTAATCCTCACAGCAACTCAAGCTCCTTTTGAAGATAAGGAAGGGGTTCTATGACTTGCCCAAGGTCACAAAGCAAAGCTGCAAAACCAGGACTTTGACCAAGGTGTCAGGATTCCAGTTCCATTCTTTGCTATCTAACAGGTGATTATTTACGGGTCCACCTTAAACCCTGAGCATTTTCCTGAAGGGAGATGTGTGTATAAATTAAGAGTCTAAAATTTCATGTTCCTTTCTAAGCAGGCTAACAAACAGCCATATTGATTACACTAAAGAAAACAAATTTGAGAGCAACACCATGATTTTAAAGGGAAGATTAATTAACATAACCTGCCAATATAATGAAGTATTTGCATATTACAAATCTCTAAATCATTATATTTTATAAACTTAAACCTGCGTAGAAGGCTATGTTTTTATATCTATTTCTACAGAAATCCATAAGATCTCCCCTCAAGTTAGGTGCTTTACTAGTGACTGTCTTAATTTTTCTAATTAGACTCTTTAGTATAATTATTCTTATGCATTATCATTTATAATTTCTTTACTCAGTGGGAATTTCTATGAATAATTGGAACATCTTAACTTCACACTTTTGCTTTTAACAGATTCCAATATTATCAGTGGTGCTTTAATGGAACTCTTACATATGCGACATTTCACTATTACCATCTATTTCAGAAGGAAAATGGGAAATCTTCCCATTAGCAAAGGCCTTGCACAGGTCATTATGAAACGGCCCTGAAGCATTCCTCTCATTTTAAACAGCGTCACTAGGTGGCGCGAGGCTGCGCACTCACGCAGCATTACTATCTGTATGTCGACACTTTCCTTGTGACAGCGACAAATCTCAGCTTCAAAAAGAAGTCTGGATTTTGCAATGTTGAAACGTCAGCTTTGTAGTATGGAAGAGGAAGGTGAAACAAAAGCAACTAAATAAGTTGTAACCAAATAAAATATGGCTTTGTTTTCCTCATTCTTATTTTATCTTACAGTACTGACAGAGGCGACCAGGTAGTGAGAAGTAGGAAGCCCAAGGCAGTATTATTTCCCTCATTTCTACTTAGGATTTAACCCATATCTATTTCTGAGATAGACAGTTTAAGATTTTATTTTTCCTTTTTCTTCCCAAAGCCCCCCGGTACCTAGTTGTATTTTCAATTGTAGGTCCTTCTAGTTGTGGCATGTGGGACGCCGCCTCAGCGTGGCCTGACGAGCGGTGCCATGTCCGTGCCCAGGATCCGAACCAGCGAAACCCTGGGCCTCCAAAGCACAGCGTGTGAACTTGACCACTCGGCCACAGGGCTGGTCCCTGAGATAGTTTAAAGGTTAAGAAACAGACTGAAAATTCAACTACCACAAAGATGATCATTTAAAAAATATCCAGAAAGTTTCAATATCAGGATGTGTACATGTTTGTGTGCTTTTTCGTTTCGTTTTTGAAGATCTCACCGTGGTGTACAAACCACGTAACACTTCTGCAGCCTCGAGAGGAAGTCGACAAAAATATACTCGGTTTCTGAATTTTCCTGAGGAGCTCTGTGTACCGCAACAGCATGAGGACACAGTCCGCCACACGCACTAGGACGGCGGTGACTTAGAGAGAGCACAGAAAGCGGAAACAGCAAGTGCTGACGAGGGGGGCAAGTCGGAGCCCTGGCACGCTGCTAACGGGGATGCGAGATGGCGCAGCCCCTGTGGACAACAGCGTGGAGGCTCCTCACAAAGTCAAACACAGGGGCCGGCCCCGCAGCCAAGTGGCTAAGTTGGCACGCTCCGCCGGTGTGGATCCTGGGCGCGGCTCCTCAGGCCACGCTGAGGTGGTGTCCCACACAGCATGACCAGAGGACTGACAACTAGAATAGACAACTGCGTCCTGGGGGGCTTTGTGGAGAAGAAGGACAAATAAATAAATAAATAAAATCTAAAAAAAAAAATCCTTAAAACAAAAGTTAAAACACAGACTGGCCATATGACCCACAATTCCACTTCTAGGTATATATACAAAAGCAATGAAACCAGGGACTCGAAAAGATAATTATGTAGCAATGTTTATGGCACTGCTATTTATGATAGCCAAAACAACTCTGATGTCCACTGACAGAAGAATAGATAAGCAAATGTGATAGATATGTACAATGGAGTATTAATCAGCCTTAAAAAGGAAGAAACTCTGGCACATGCTACATCGTGGGCGAACTTTGAGGACATGATACTCAGCAAAATAAACCAGTCACAAAAGAGCAAATACTGTACGATCCCACTCACAGGAGATACTAGAGTCATCAAATTCATAGACAGAAAGCAGGATGGTGGCTGTCAGGGGTGTGGCAGAGGGACGGGGAGTTCAGCACAAGTGCGTCGTGCCTGCCCTACCCCCTTTCTGACTCAAAGAAAATCTGCTTAGTTCAAGATACAGATCTATGGAATGTAATTTTAAAAACGAAAATTACAGTTGAAGTCCTATCATTAAAATTTTTTTCATTGCTTAACCCCCAAATTGTGGTTTCTCTGAATTCTGGAACCACCTGACCCGAAGAATACCCAGCCTGCCTCCAGGTCCTCCCTAACTTACAGAATCAAAACCTCAGCCTCCTCTGACAAGGGGCTCAAATATTTTCTTGTTATTCACTTTCCATTTAGCTCTGAAATGCACCTGTTTAGGTTGTCTTACACCGAAGCAGTGAAATACCTCAAATCAGCCATGGACTGAAACACTGGCTCTCTTTCTGAGGCCTAAATGGTTCCACAGATCTCTTGGCATCCAAGAGGAGGTCCAAAGTGGCTCCAAACTCCAGCCACTTCTAAATCTGCTCACCTACCCGGTGAGCTCACCACCACCCATTCGGGGGCTCTTCTAGGTAACCCGCCCTGAGCCACCTGGAGTTGAGCCCTCCTTCTGAGCTACTACTCAGCTACGCACATCTGACCGCACAGATCATATCTGTCTCCCTTGTCAGAATGTGTGAGCTTGTACAGTTTCAAAAACATCTCCTCTGTGTAGCATAACGGCTGCTACACAGAGAGTCATATGGTCTCATGAATGTGTGAAGAAAGAAAGACCAGTCATGGTAGGTCACAGGATACAAAAACGACCAGAACCGTAATAATCCACGCCTGTTCACTGTGTGCGCTCACCAAGACAGAACGCTGGTGCCTGTGACCGGGCCATTCGGTTAAAGAGCACCTGATGGGGGTCAACGCAGTCTCAGCAGAGAATTGACTGGACACTAAGTATCTATTTAATATGCAATTACTTTTAAGTTGGCAAAGCTGATGATTTTTGAAAGCCTGGATTAGAAGCCTAGTGATAAAAATTCAGAGAAAGAATTACAAAGTTTAAAGATAATATTTTTGTAGTTAAAATCCAACTACTAAATTCAGAAAAGATTATCTACATAAGGATAGCAGAAAAGACGCCTCTTCCTCATGAAAGAGACATACTTGCCTGAAACCCAAATATAAGTAGAAAAGCACAGCTGGTTACTTTAAAATCTAATAAAATGAGAGATGCTAACAGATATGACTTCAAAGGTCCTCAAACAATTTGATCTGTCTATATGCATTAAAAAAAGTGTTGTTAATTATGGGAACATGTGAACATATGCTCGAGTGGACAGAACAGTATGAAGAACCCCACGCCCACCACCAGGCCCAGCAAGCACCAGCTCCTGGCCAGTCCAGGCCATCTGTGCCTTCACCTACTGCCCTGTTCTCCTAATACCGAAGGCAAACCCCTGATGCCATCAATCCATCCATAAACAGTTCAGTATGCTGTACATGAATGTTCACTGCAGCATCACTCATCACAGCCAAAAGTGGACCCGAACACCTACCGAGTGGGCTATTCAAACAATCGACATCATTCGGCCAGAAAAAGGAATCAAGTACTGATGCCTGCAACAAGTGAGCAAGGCCAGTCACAAAAGGCCACATCCCGGGAGACTCCAGTTATGTGAAATGTCCAGAACAGACAACAGCACAGAGACAGAAAGCGGATCAGCGCTTGCCTAGACTGCGGGTGGCAGTGACTTGCTATGGGCACATGGTCTCTTTGGGGTAATGAAAATGTCCTAAATTTAGATGTTAGTGATGGTGGCACAACTCTGTGAATACACTAAACTGTATTGGACACTCTAAAGGGTGGATTTTATGGTATGTATATTATATCTCAATAAAGCTATTATTTAAAAAATTAGTTTTACTCTCTAATATACGTTGTTTTTTTTAAAGGATAAAAGTAACAAGGGCAACCAGATGGACAACAAAGGTCAGAAAAAACACCCCAGTGAGCAGCTTTAGAGCGTCGAGGTCCACTATGAGTAGGTGAGGATGGAGCACTGACCAGCCCCAGGGCTCTGTCGGGTAGGTGCTAACATGCACTGCCGGGAACCAAGAGCAAGACGAGAAACAAGGCGCACCTCACAGCCACGAGACCGTAACTCCCCAGAAGGATGGGGTGAACACGCAGGACAGCGCCTCACTGCGAGGTGCTCAGCTGGACCCAGCTGGTGGCACAACTGAGGCCAGGGCTCAGGAGCTTCAGGGTCCCACCGACCCCCTGATTTCCAATGCTCAGCCACTGGAATTCTTCTAACAAACGTGCAAAAGCGCAAATGATAGAAAGCAACTGTATCTTCACACAGAAAGAAATACGTAGGTGTGTGAATCCTCTGCCTCGTCACCCTGTGAATAAAAGCGGGGCGTCAGGAACAAACGAGACAAGGAAGTGCTCCTCACCTGGGCTTCTCCGAGGTCATTGTTCACCACAGTGAAGTTGAGCCCGAGCTCCTCCACGTCACCTTCATAGCTCTTGAGAAAAAGCAGATTCTTATACACTTCAGGATCTAACGAAGCGAGATGATGAATGTCCACATCTGCACTGGTTCCAAGCAACTTGGACAGAAAAAAGCCGGCAAAGGGCAATTCCACCAGCATATTTTCATAGAGAGCCTTCAAATAAGAACAATGAACAATGATTAGCATTTCGTGGGAATCTTTTTTCATACTTTCTAAAAATAAAAGATGTGTATGTTCATTTGATACTTAGAAGTCTAAGATAGCAGATACTTTTCCTCCATAACAATGACAAGGATGGCGGAAGCTAATGTTTGGTGAGCGTTCACCATGTGCCAGGCCACAGGTTAAGCCTTCAATGCACGCATGCAGTATGTCAAAAATTCGAGAGCAGACTATCAAAGAATTTTAGGGCTGAAATAGTCAAATGTTAATACCAGTGGGAATTTTTAAGAGTCAAATCCTTCATGGGACAACAGAGGTTGGCAAGCATTTTCTGTGCAGGGCTTTGCGGGTGTATCCATTTCCCGGGCCTGCTGTAACACAGTGCCACCAACGGGGTGGCTTGAAGCCACAGAAACCTAGCGTCTCACAGCTCTGCAGACCGAACCGAGATCAGGGCCATGGGGCCAGGCCCTCGGAAGGCTCGGGAAGGGTCCTTCCTCGTGTTTTCCAGCTTCTGGTGGTGCCAGCAGTCCCTGGGGATCCCCGGCTTGTAGCTGTGTCACTGCAAACTCTGTCCCTTCACATGGCTGCCCTCCCATGTGCGTCTCATCTCCCTCTCCTTTCTCTTCTGAAGATGCCAGTTACTGGATTTGGGGCTACTCTAACCCAGCACAACCTCATCTCAGTTTGATGACACCTGCAAAGACTCTCTCTTCTAATAAGGTCACATTCACAGGTACAGGGTATTAGGACTTGAGTATATTTTTGGGGGGGTCACAATTCAATCTACTATAGCAGGCCAGACTGTCTCAGTCACCACCCCTCCACTCTGCCTTTATAGCACAAAAGTAGCACAGACAACACGTGGAAAGCTGTATATCACAGTTGGATTTCATGAGATTTCCAACTCAAGAAATATTCTTCTTTAGAGTCTTTTTCCAACCATCAAATGGAAAAAGCATCCTTAGCTTACTGACCATACGAAAATAGGTGGCAGGCTGGATTCGGCCCACAGGCTGCAGTCTGCCAACCTCCATTCTAAAACGAAGAAATCAGGCATCAGAATTCTGAGGATCGTCCAGATATTATGAGTTGGTACGTGGCAAAATTGGTATCAAAACCCAGATTCCTGACACCCAAATAAATGTTTTCACTCTAAGTCACTGTCTACCTTTACGTATAAGGATTGCAGTGCATAATTATTTTTGCATTTATCTATATTAAAGTATAATTTATACATAGTAAAAGAAAATGTACAACTTCTTAGTTTGATAAATTATTACATTTGATTACACCGGTGTAAAGACCACTCAAATCAAGACATAGAACATTTACACCCCTCCCCAGGTCGAGTTCGCTCACGCCCTTCAGTCAATACTCTCCCCCAGGTTAACCCCCAGTCTGTTATCACCACAGAGAAGTTCTGCCAGTTCCAGAACTTCATAAATGGGATTACACAGTATGTATTATTTTATATCTGTGTTCTTGCGACACAGTATTTCTGAGATTCCCCTATGCTACTACTCTTTTACTTACTGCTGTGCAACAGCCTTCCCCAGTCACCTGATGACGGACACTGAGCTGTTTCCATTTGGGGGCTATGATTAGGTACAGCTGCTATGAAGAGTCATGGACGAACCTTCCTGTCGATCTGTGCTGACTTCTCCTCAGTATACACTGAAGAGAAGAACTGCTGACAGTGGAAGGATTGGGCCACAAGGTAGTTTAACTCTGTTAGACACTGACACCCTATTTTCCAAGATGCAATGATTTTTTCACCACAACCAGCAATGCTAGAAGTCTGCAATGGTCTCCATCCTCACCAATTATTAGTATTGTCAGTCTTTTAAATTTTAGTTATTCTGGTGCAATGGGGTATCTCACTGTGGTTTTAATTTACATTTCCCTGATGACCAGTGGTATTAGACTAAATTAAGTGTTGGTATTACTATATTAATCACCAGAGATACCCCAGCAAAAGAAAGTGGGACGTAAAATTATGTAAGTTTTCCAACATAATGTCAGGGTTCACCTGGCATGAAAAATGTTCTTATAGTCTAAGGCTGTAAAATGCAACAAGGAATCAGGAATGTTGTATAAAATTTTCAGATGCATTCTTATTATTTTATTCTAACGGAGGACTGACTTGGAAGTCACAACAACTCTTTCTTGTCAAAAATGTTCTAATGAAAATAATAGTCACCACTCAATGAATGCCTGCCACGTGCCAGGTCCTATGCTGAGCACCCGACATCAGTGATCTCATTTCCATCTGGCCTATTTGGAAGGTCTCCTAACTGTAAGGGAAGAGTGATTCTTACATGGGAGTCAAGCGGAAATCTGGATTCCTCTACAACGTCCATTTTTCTTAGAACACATCTAATCTGCAAAGACATGTATTCACTAGAACCCTCTGAGACGCTCCCATGACTGCAGCCTCCCACCTTCCCCGGTGAGAGGGCAGTGGTGTCATTACCCCCACTCGGTGAAGGAGAGCTGGAGGGACCGCAGAAGGACAGACAGAGTGGGCGAGGGCTGGACTAACTAACCTCACTTTAGAAACCAGTGCAATGAGCTATGCTCTGTGGGCTATGTTGTGACACAGTCAGATCTTCTTTAAACCACTGTTTTAGGATTTGAGCGCTATTATGCTACTCAAGGACTACCAAAATAAAAACAAAATTTAATCTAAGGGGTCATCATTCAGCCATGAAACTAACTTCAGAAGTCACTCTTCCAAGAGGCCATTTACCTGATCACATCCATATACACTAAATGTGAAACATGAAGGTTTAAAGACACAGAACTGGGGCTGGCCTGGTGGCGCAGTGGTTAAGTTAGCACACTCTGATTCAGTGGTCCAGGGTTCCCCGGTTTGGATCCTGGGCACAGACCTACACACCACTCATCAAGCCATGCTGTGGCAGAGTCCCACATACAAAACAGAGGAAGATTGGCACAGATGTTAGCTTACCCACAATCTTCCTCAAGCAAAACAAAAATGAAAAGAGGAAGTTGGGCAACAGATGTTAGCTCAGGGCCAATCTTCCTCACCAAAAAAAGAAAGAAAGAAAGAAAGAAAAGGACAGATCTGTGTGAATTAACTAATATGAGCGTAAACAGTTTCTAGAGCACTGGCACTATGCTCCCTCAATCTTCTAGCAGATATGAAATTTTCGGCCTATGTGCCACTGTTCACCTTGGTTCAAGTGAACCCTTTCCTTAGTCATAGCTCCCAGTACAGGTACAGTAATTAATCACCTATTTCCCACATGGTAGTCTATAAAATAACTGGTCCTTAAACAAATACACCTAATTTACACACTCACATGACTACTTTCACTTCTCCTCCTAAACCACCAGAGAATGCTGACACCCCTTGAGATGTACATTTTAAAGTCTCACCCACTAACACGACTGGAGGAAACCAGACAATAGCTATCAGACCTCCATCCATCCAACCATCCAGAGTGCACTGGCTTCGTGTTCCAGAAAGCTCCTGACAGGCATGTGGAACGACATTTTCCCCAAGGCTGGCGTGTCTAAGAAGCTCAGGTTCACCACCTGTTCACTGCAACTTCATAACACCCCCTCCAGCTCAGACCACAGATGCGTTTTGCCAAGGAAACTGAAGTGCTATTTCCCAGAGCTTTTATTTCTGATTTGAAGACTAATGATTACCCAGTTAATTTTGAAAGGATGGCAAAAAAGGACTTCTTAATGAGAGGGTGAGCAACAAAATGGAGACCGGCACTTAAGTCATCCACCGATGGCGTAGAGAGCCGTTGTGAAAAGCCAGTTTGCTCAAAGTTAAGAATGGCTAATACTATTAACCTGGAGCACTTATAAATCCCCTTCCTTCTAAATGAATGATGACTTCAAGCCAAGGAGAACATTCTGCATAAGATGACATGATTGATTCCAGGTGTGGAAGAAAAGCCTCATTTGTACCGTGGACTCTAAAGTAAACTGGAAGTGTAAATCATTTGATGTTCAATATATAAGGTCATTGTTTGCCATTTCTGCATTAGTAACAATAAACCAGTGAAATTCGTTAAATATAGCAGAGCTACCTGAATTTTAAACAGAAATCCCACTGTGACTCATAAAATGTAAATGCATAGGTATAATTTTTTACATAAGGCAGGTTTAAACCTTTAGAGCATTTAATATACAAGGACTAATAAATGATAGCACTAAAAACTATGATTGCATCAGCTAAATGGATTATAAATTAAATTTCCATAATGTATGCAACTTAGATACAAATGTAGGCATAAATCAAGGTATTTTCTAAACACAGGTTAATTATACAACGTCAAAAACTGCCTATTTTTTATGCAAAATAATCCACTTAGCATTTTTCATATTGGCCTTAATTCTAAGTCAGTCGCACCATACTTGTTCCTAGAAGCCTATCAATAACTACTTGTCATGAAAAAATAGCAATAGGTATATGGAAAAAACCTGTAACGTATTTTTCAACTGTCTGTCTTTTATGAGTGTTTATAGCTAGAAATTGTGCCAAAATGATTTGAAATAAAAAGGATTAATTATAGTAGAAGCCTTTTAATATAAGTGAGTGCAGTCTCAATGCAATTAATGCAAATTGTGGCACTATCAGGAGAATAAATGTGAGCCACATCACAGGCCATTTCTGTTTGCTGCCAAATAACTTCAGTAATTTACTACATTAAGAATCAATAAAAAAATAATGCTTTTCAAATGCATCTCTATCAATCTTCAGGTAGTTCTAAAGTGAACATTTATAACTTAATCTAAAAACTATATCAGGGATGTCTTGTTTTAAAGCCACCCTAATTGAGTAAGAAGATAATAATTTTAATTATTTCAGATCATGCTAATCTCGGAGTTTAAAAAAATAAAAAAGAAATGTAAAATAATGGATGCTGATAGTACAAGCTATTTAATAGTCGTGCTTCAGAATTAATAACCGGGAGTTGAAAAACATGGTCTCTGCTGGGACTGCT